GGCCGCTCTGGGGCCGGGGAGCTGCTCGTGACCGCACCCGGAGCTGGAGGAGCCCCTTCCCGGCCCCGCTAAAGCCTCAGCCAGACGGTGGGAGGAAAAGCAAGTTTCCAACAGCGAACAGGGAGCGGAGGCAGCCGCCTCCCGACACACCTGAAGAGATCCAAACCCTGAGCGGGACCACTCCAGCTAACGAGGGTTAAGCGCTGGCTAAACTGTCACAGAGAAACACGGATTGATGGAAAGCAGGAACCTCAGAAAAAGTGAAAGGGAACGTACGGTGTGAGCAGGGAGCGGCGGGGCGAGGGGCCCCTTTTACCCTTGGCACGCAAGGGATGGAGAAAAGGCAACGCCAGAGGATGGCGAGTAAAGTCTTCAAGAGACGAAAGGAGGTGAAAACAGGTTTGGATGCACGAGGCTTCCGCCAGCCCCAACAAGAGTCAGACGGGAGAAAGCGCAGAGAGCGGCTGAATCCCCGCTGCAACGAACCCGGTGCTGCGGCAGGGCTGTCGAGAATCACCCGCTGTTGCTTCCAGATGGGAAAAAAGAGAACGAAAACCCGTCGGATCACCCACAGCCCCACTCGCCGGTGACGGGGAGAGCCGGCTGGGCAAGGAAGAGCGAGGGGAAGTTGCTGGGAGCTGGGAGCACCAACCCCAGGCTCCCAGGACAAAAGAGCACGAAAGAAAATGAGAGAGATGGAGCCCCGTGAAGCTGCTCCGCCGCACCAGCCTGGCAGGGGTGGTTAGAGAGGTGAAAAGCCCAAGTTTGGGCAGCAAGGAGAGCGCGGCGCTCCCTCCTCCGCAGGCAAGAGAACCGAAAGGCAAAGGCTCACACACTTCATCATGGAGAAGGGTCTTTTCTCTTGAACTTTAAGCATTAGGAGATGTACCTCTCTGGAAGAGGAAAGTGTGGCAGAGAACCAATGCTGCCTCCACGGCCACCAAACCACAGGAAAATAAATAAAAAAATCAATCAATCAATCAAAAAAAAAGCAATCAATAATCAATAATCAATAATCACCTTCAGCTCTCGCTTCCGGTTCCGGTCACTGTTGGATTTGGAGTGCCTGGAGCTTCGGCCTTCCTCCACCGCCTCAAAGAGCTTGTCCACAAACCGCAGGGTGGAATCGTCCAGGAAGGGTTTGAGGTGGTCTGGAAGAGAGGAGGAGGGGTGTCAATGCCGAATTCCCTGCTTGGGACGAGCGGGAGGAGGGAGGATTCGCAGAGGGGTCTGCAAAGCTCCCAAACACTTCTTGAACGGCGGATTCGACCCCACTAACACAGCGGGGGCTGCAGCCTGGGCTCTGGGATCTGCGGGATCTGAAGGATTAAGGGAGTCCAGGCCTCGACGAGGACAAAAATTAGGGCTCTAACGGTCAAAAGAAGCCTTCACGGGTTAAATTATCATTTTCAACAGGCCCCAAATTCAGTTTTACGTCCTCGTTTTCCGTAACTTATCCCGAGGCTTTCGACGGCGTCTCACCTCCCTGCGCGGATTCCCACGTACTCACCTCCGCCTCGTCGAGGCAGACTCAGAATCGCCCCGTGCACGCCCGAGAGCTTCCAGGTTTGGGGGGAGGATTTTGTTTGTTTCCTAAAACCACCTCAACACAGCCCAGGTTCCACCCCTGCGAGGACGCCATTCGCCCCCCGCAGCCACCGCACCCCCGACCTGCCCCGCAGCCCAGCACCACCAGCAGGAGCTCGGTCTGGGAACAGAGTTTAAATCCGATTTGAGGCTACTTCAAGGCGATTTGAGGATTTGCCTGCACCCATTTTCTCCGCCAAGGGGGTCTGACCACCTCTGCCAACAGCTGGGGGGCCGGGGCCGGAGCCCGCGGGACGTACCGGCCGCTTTCTTCTTGTCCATGCCCTTCCCGACGCAGTTCAGCGCGGCCGTGACCACGGTGGGCTCCGAGAACCCCAGGACCCGCTTCACCGTCTTCTCGATCCATGGCTTCAGCTCGTCCAGTTCCCTTTTGGAGAGCGACATCTCGGCCAGGAGCTGAACGGGGTTATTCTGCTCGTACCTGCGAAGGCGACAGAGGAGAAAACGACGGGTGAAACAGAGGGTCGGGTTATTGCTGCCTCGCTGCCGCGTTCTCCTCCTCTGCGAGGAAGCTCGGAAGCGGAGAAAGCTCTTGGAGGTGACTTTTGCTCATTTCCCTTCAAAATGGAAGCTAAAACAAGACGAGCCCCGCGGGAAGGAAGGGCCCCAGCAGCGAGGAGCCAAGCGGCAGCACCACCCCCCGCGCAGGGAAAGCCCCGACCCTCCTGCGGCCCCTCACGGCCCCGGGAAGGGCACGCGGTGACACCGCTCCGGCTCTGCTTCCGCGCCCCAACAGTTCCTCATCCCTCAGCTTCTCCCAGACCTTCCCTGGGCTCTTTTCGGGGGCTCCTACACCAGTTCCCACCGCGCCTGGAGCCTGCGCTCGGCCGGGTCAGAGCCTCCCTGGCCCAACGCGAGCTGCACAGCCCTGCCCTCAGGCACGGGACCGCCTCACGCTCGCCCCCCATTAGCCTCGTCCCCGGGAGGTCCCCAAACTCCTTGGAACACGTTCCACTTCGCAGCGGCGAAGCCGAAAGGATGGATTTTTCCAGGGAAAAAGCTCCTGGCCGTGAATCCTTAGTGGTTCTCGTTCCGTCAGCCGCGGCCTGCGGACACGAGAATGTTTAATTACGCGCCCGGCCCTAATCTGATTTGGGAACCAAGTGTCCTTTATCTGGAAACAGGAGAAAATCTTCTTAAGGAAATATGTTTGACCTCGGCATTTCTTCCTCGCACGAGAAGGGCCCACAGCGCCCCGAAGTTAACGTGTTTTAACAGAAATCCACCCAAACAAGGGTATCATGGCTGAAACGGAGAACCAAGAGCCTGGGTGTCAGCCCTAACGAAGGGCTTCTCGACTCAGGGGCTGCCAACAGCAGCCCAGAGAGGCAAACCCCCAGGCTGAAGGCAGCGACGAGGGGAGAGCCTGTCCCTCTGGAGAGCCGACCCCTCTCCACAGCCAAAAGCTGGAAAACCTCTGGAGCCAAAAGCTGGAAAATCTCCAGAGCCTTCCACGTTTGACAGGAGGTTTCTCAGAGATGGATTCAAACGTAGCAGCAAACGCAGCCCCAAAGAACGTTATTACAGACTTTCACCTCTCAGTTCTGAGCTGGCAGCACATAACGCTCCGGGACAAACCATCAAAACAAGTGGAAATAATTAATTCCTGCCCTGAGGCTTTGGGCACAGATGCTGTTAAACA